ATGATAGTATAGATTTTTTTTGCAGTACAAAGAAATATTGAAAATGTTATCTTGAACTTTACTATTTTACTTACTCAGTTCTTCTGTAACTTCTAATGTTTTTCACATGAATCTTTGGGATTTAAAAAAAGTATAATCATGTCATCTTTATTAATTTTAAAGTTCAAGATGATGTTATTATTGCAACTATTAATCTGTCTTTCTTTTAAAAATACATATTTTCTTTTTCCCAATATTTTACATTAATAAAAACCACAAATCTTATGTGAAACAAAAATGATAATGGTGGATTTTATTCTTGAGTTTAATGAGTACACTATTGAGAGTAAAATTAGCCAATTACATAGCATTTTTAAACTAATTTCATTTTAAAGATTTCTGATGTGATTCTTTATTAGATTTTAAAATATTAAGTCAGTTATCTTTCTGAAATAGTTCACTTTAAGTTTTTAAAACTTTTATTTGTATCACAATATTCATTAAAATTGAGTGATTTTATTTATGAAAATTAAAATGTCTAAATGTAGTTTGACTTTTGGTCAAGTCTGTTTTTTAAACAATTTTCTGTATCTTTGGTTGTTAGTTCATACAAACCTTTTTTTAAAAGTCACATTCTTTTAATTAATTTAAATCAAGACTACTACATAATGATCTCTTTTTGTACGGTAAGAGTGTGTTACTAACATCTTACAAATTTTCAATATCTTTGTGCTTTATGTTCATCTGTAAGCTGTCACATGGATAAAATGAAATAGTATGTACTTCAGTATGTGAAATAATTCATTTCATGTTCTTTGTCCTCTGCTTTCTATTTTTGTTTTGTAAAGGAGTAAGATCCAGTTTTTTCCTATTTTGAATTCTGATGGACTCTGATTTTTTTCGTTCTAGAATAGTTTAAAGGTAAATATCCTATACCTACCATTAATTTAAAACAGGCTATAAACATTCCTAATCGCAGTAGTTATTAACTTATTACTATAAATCAGCCACAATTACTTTTGGCAAGAGTTCAGTAGTTTGCTATTAGTTTAGTTCTATACATTTCAACAATTAACTTTCTCTCTCCTCCATGGAGGATACGACATTTTCGCCCTTTGTGACTCCCCCTTTCTTCTATTCATCATTTGTGTAATCTGTGGGCTTTTGCATTCATTATTTTTGATTTATTTTGTTCTACTTTATTTGAACAATTACCCCAATTAGATAATTCAGCAAATATCAAGTCTCCTTTTTCCCCCTTAATTATTCACTGTTCTCCTATCAATTGCTATCGTTTCCTATGAACATTTGGTTATTTTAAAAAAAGAAAACGAGAAAAGGAGAATTGGCTTCTCTGAACCCATTCATCATTTCCTGTATCATATTTCTATCCAAGGACCCACACCTTGGGATTTCGTGAGCTGGTTAATACCCTGGGTGCCTGTGCAGGAAAATCGTTTATAAGTTTCTAAAGGACTGACCATTCGAAATCTCTTTCTGTCTGCAATTAGCAGGGTAGCTGTCTATGACCTTCTTAGATTCAGCCTTTTCTCTAGGGGCTCCTGAAGCTCTAATTCCATTATCTTGTAATGGCAGTAAAGAAATCTGTAGAAATCATAATCGTGAACCATTGAGAAAGATTAAGTTATTATTCCTAAAGTTTATTTATAGTTATCTTCCAGAGTTCACTTAGGTTTATTAATTTGGCTTCAGACAGTGATAGTTCTTTTTAAAAATTTTTAATTTAATGAATTTCACATTCTTTTAATTGGTTCTTTTAAAATCTTAGATTTAAAAAAATTATACCTTGATTATTAATTTTGCTCTTCATGTCCTTTCATTGTTTACATGTTGGATTTCTACTTTTTCTCTCCCATGTCCCTTATGTTTTCTGTTATTCTTTTGATCTGGATATGAGTTATACTGATCGAGATATTTTCAAAATGTGTAAGTGCTACTCTTGGCTTCCACCTGCCAGGAATATAACAGATGCAACATACTGTCTTCAAAATTAGACTCCTCACAATGCCCATAGCTTTATCTACCAGAAGGATTCTGAGTTTGCAATTTGCTGATCCTGTCAAGGAATGTGAAGAGAAAGGAGTTTGCCTGTGGGCAGAGTGTGACCTAGTTAGGAGGACTGAGTGTCCTCTTTCAGTTCAGTATTTGGGCAGCATACAATCCACTCAAGCTGACCTGTGAAGTTAACCTTCGTACACACTTAATCTTACTTGGTTCTCACAACTTGCTATTTTGTAGTGACACAGGGGGTGATAAACTATTGATTGTCCCATATTTATTTTACTCTGCTTGTCCATAAGAGAGCTGAGATTCACATGCAGCGCTCCCTGGAGCTAATGCTACAGTGGTTTCTTGTATATTGCACTTGTCTTTCAATGAGAAAAGTTTGTGGTCCACAGTGAGGAGCTGTTAAGCAGACAAAGCATGTGTACTTACCAACATTTTGAAGAGTTAATTAGTAGAATGTGTGGGACTGATTTGAGTTTTGTTGAGATTAGGAAGTGACTGACTAGGAGAACAATGTTCACTCTAGAGTGTTGTTTGACACCTCTAGGTCATTAACCAGGAGTGTATTTTATTATTGAGAATTTGAAGCATAATCCTGGAGCAAACATGCATTATGCTAAGCCCTTTCTTAATTTGCTAACAAAATGGATTTTAGATAAGTTTTCTTTTATAGTAACTATATCCTTTATCTCCCTATAAAGTTGTTTGATTTAATTTGATTTAATTTTATTTATTAATTATTTTATTTATTTATTTATTAAATTTATCAATTTAATTTGATTTAATTATTAATTACTTTCACTTTCTCCTTCCAAATGCTTAAGATTAAGTGTTATTATTCCCTTTTTACAGATTGGAAAATTAATTGACACTTCAATATTTTTTGTACGTGTTACTGAAAGGCAACAGAACACAGTGGTTAAGAGCTAGACTCTGGGCCCAGACCCTGACTCCACAGTCTCCTAGCTTTGTAATTTTAGTCAGTTATTTAGCCTTTCTTCATTTGTAAGTGATTTGTTATAAATGAGTCATTGTATGAGAAGCCCTTAGGACAGTACCAGACACAGACCAAAGTATCTAGGTGTTAGTGGATTTTTATCATCACTGAAAGGTAAGCACTGTTTTAGGTGCCAGAGATAAGAGTGGTGACTAAAATGGACAAGGTTTTTTGTTCCTTATGTTTGTAAAGCTCACATGCTATTGGAGGACATGAATATCCATCTTTATTGCCTTTCAAGTAGTATTTTCAGTATCAAATATTATTTTGACAACAGAAGAAACACTTGCAATAGAAGAAAGATAAATGGTGTGCAAACACAGCAAACATCTCACCATAGCAGCAATCAAGAACCGTAAAACACTTGAACATTTTTACTTATCAGCTTGACAAAGAGGAACAGGTGGCTCTGGTGAAGTTGGGACAGAGGACACTGTGAGGGGTTTCTAAAGGTCAATCTTAGTGGCTTCTGTTGCCCTCATACTCCACCCCAATCCATCTGCAGTTCTTGTCACGTCTACTTTGAAATACATCTTTAGAAACTCTCCTGTTATCTCCCCCAAAGAACAGTCATCCTCATTCTTGGCGGGACAATTGCCACACACATTTTCTGATCATCCACTTTCCATTCAGCAACAGAATGAGGTTTTTTGTGTAGGTGTAGGCTCTCTGAATTGATCGAGTCTTTGTTTTGAGGCTCTGTAGTGAGGCCAGATTCTTTGTGTCTCTTGTAGTGTGATATTCTTCAGGGTTTCACCCTAACTATCTGGCTTTCTTTCCTTCTAGGCACATGGCAGGATTTTACTTTCCTGTCCAGAAAATAACAGGCGTGGCCATGTGTCTTACCTTGATTGACAGAAGATGAGTGGGATCGCGGGCATCGTTTCCAAGTGGAAGAGTTAAGAACCAGTCTGTATTTTCCACACTTTGCCTTTCACTCTTTGACGCATAGTGTACAAGCTAAAGCATGCTGAATTTGCCAGTGTCTTGAAGTGAGCATAATGGTGGTAGGGAGCTAAATCCTTAGCCACCTATTAACATTAGTCGAATCTGCCTAGCTGTTTCATGCTGCTGAGATTTTTGAGTTACCTCCTACAATAGCATTGTCTACCCTCTTCTGACTGACAGATCAAAATGACAGATAGGATTTTTCTGAGATGTCAACTGTATTACTATTTTCTGTCACTAGTAACACAAGACTACAGACTGGGTGAGTTATAAAGAAAATAGGTTTCTTTTGGCTCATGGTTCTGGTCAAAGCACATAGGCCATATCTAAAGATGAACTTCTTGCTTGCAGAGTCTTGAAGGCTGATCCTAACTGGATTCCTTGCTTCATGACCTGTCCCTTAGGTAACTGCTGTTTACTGAGTCCTTGCACTGTACGAAGTCTTTCACAAAATTTCTCTCTTAATCTTTACAGCAAGTCTGTTGTATCTTGGCTACACTATACTGAATTTCTCCTGACCATATCTCAGCCCAAAACTACTTAGAATAGATTCTGTGACTATAAGTATCTGAGAAAAGTAGAAGGAAGTGTGTGAGTGGGGATAGCCAAGATTTGCTCATTCAAGTTACTTCAGTGTGAGAGGTGACTGCTTTGAGTTTCTTAGGAAGGTATACTAACCCAAAGTTTATTTCCTTCGGGGAATTCGTGGGACCACTTTTTAAATGTCACCTTTTAATTTTGTGTCTAAGGATGGATAACCACAGGCTTTCTACCTAGTTGTGTAGAGACTCTTGGGTCTCTCTTTTCCACAGGTTCTTATTCATCCTGATCCCCCTATTGCTCTTACAGGAGGCATCCTGCCCCTCACTTGTTCAATCTGTGTGTATCCTCCAGACCAGGCCTTGAACCAAATTCATGTGATCACATGGAAAAGACAGATGCCTCGGGATGGAGAGGTGGATAAATGCTGGTCTTCTGTGTTGGATTCCTCTTTTCAGAAGGTTTCAAACCCTGTCATTCCCAACAAATGAAAGAGGAAAGTATTAGCTCAGCTTATATGATTATTATTACACTCTTAGTATCTTCTTTTTTTCTGTTTAGATTCTCTGTCTATGGTCATACTTCCTGGTAGAGAGAAGCTTCAATAATCTTGACTGTTTTTACTTCCAGAGAAAACAAATTCTGCACAGAGGCACAAGAAACAAAGGTTTCTTCAAAACTTAAAACAACCTATTTTGGGTAAGATCAATCTTTGGTGAAAATGAATTTTCCCTAAGCAATAATTTGAACATAAGTGGCTGAGATATTTAATTAACCTGTGAATAGCTTCAGAACACATCTGACTGTATTATTCAAATTAAAATTGAGATATGGTCTGTCTTCCCGGTCAACACAAAGGGCATATTGACATAAAGTCTAGAAAAGCAGAACTAAAAAAGCAGAATATTTCAGAGCATGTCCACTGCTGTCCTGGTAAGACACCACTGGCTGGGGGCCATTTCTACCAAATACAGAAGATAGAGGAATGGTGCTGAGCAGTTGGATAAATGAATAAGTTGGGGTGACTGTTCTTCCTCCAATTCTGTGTTCACCACGACAATCTTCTGGTTATAATCTTGTTTTCCCTGCAGATTCTCCTACGGAAATAATTCTGACTACAGAAAACTGGCAGTCGAAGTTGTTGGCAGTTCTATTTTTATGGCTAATTAATAAATTGAAATCTCCCAAGCCTGAGCACCATGGAGCATGCAGACCAAGTGGAATTTCTAGGATTACAGAGGGATCCTGCTTGACCTAGAGTGACCTCAGTGGATGCTGTCTCCAAGGTCACATGCCCAGGGTGCCACTGGACTCTCTAGATGAGCTCTTTATTTCCTTTCAGTAAATGTGAGGGATCAGAATGATAGTTATGGTGTATAGTGCTAGAATTCTACCAGTTTGGATTTAGACCATAGGCATAACTATATTTATGTTCTTGGTTTATCATTTAGTCAATTGTTCCTGTTACAAACTGATTATCACTATGTTCTGAGCATTTTATTAGGCACGGGAATACAGTGACAAATAGAGTACAATTCCTACCATCAGAAGCTTTCAGTTCAATTATAGAAACCCTATTTTAAACAAATAGTCAGACGGTATGCTAAATACCTAAACACTGTTACAGAAAAAGCTATGCTGTAGGATTGGTTATGTGTTTATGTAGACAAATTAAAGAAGGCTTCATAGCATTTAAGCAGCCTTGCACGTAACCAGGAATTTGGTGGGTAGATGGGAGAATCAGCAATTCTCCAGGAAAAGTGAAGAACATCCTCAAGTAAGTGGATCATCCAGGATGGAATGGAGGTTATCCCACAGTTTGGGTTGGGAAATAGAGACCAGGAGAGTGGATGAAGCTGGAAAGGTAAGCCGGAACTGTCAGGTGATGGGCTTTGCAAGTTATACTAAGGACTTCTGTTTTTGTGCTGTACATTGCAGGAGGAATACATGAAAGATTCCCCAGGGAACGTCGTTTATCACAGCATTGGTCTGATTACAGAGGTTGGGTGGGATGGGGATGGGTCTGGCCTCAGGAAGACCAATCTGCAGACTCTTTCTGCAGTCTGGCTGAGGGCTGAGGGTGAGAACTGTTGCAATTAATATCAGGACAGAAATTTGAAAGAGGGTTCAAACAGAATTAAGGCAGGTGAGGTGTCATAGGGACAGGAAGAGGAAGAATGTTTGATTCCCACATTTCTGATTTGGGGTAGTCAGAGTGCTGTTAATCTCCATAAGCACTGAAAGGAAGACCAAAAACTTTTATGGGTGAAAAATACAGATTTATTTTTGTATTGACTTTGATCTATTCAGGTCAAATTTGAAACCTGAGAGAGATTGCCAAGCTGGAAATAAATGTTTTATGATTAAAGAATGAGCAGCAGTAAAGCGAGGGAATGGGTATTGCCTGAGAAGGTTGTGTTAAGTGAGGAGGGAACGGTGCCAGAGGCGGCCTCGAGAGAACTTTAACATTCAGGGATGGACTGCGGCGTAAGGGGAGCTGGGAATAAGGAGCCAATGGATGATTTGTTTTGGAATATTTCCATGCTAAATTGTCTGGCTGACAATGGCCAGGACTGTTCTTTGCATTTTTTTTTGGTCTCCTTCCCCCTCCTTCGTCTTCTTCCCTTTCACCCCCTTTTTGCCTTCCTCTTTTATTCCTCCTCCTTGTACGCTTCTCCCTTCCCCCTTACTTTTCAATTCTTGGTTGTTCCAAAATAAAGCCTAGGGACTTTGAAAATGCATTTCTTCCTATATTTTTTCCCTACCCAACTTCAGAATCTTAAATATACAGTGTTCTGGCTGGGTAACAGTCACGTGACAGCTAATAGCAAGAAAAACTTAACATTGAATGAGCATTTTATGTATCCCATGGATAATCTCATTTGGATCTTCCAAAATCCCGTGACGGAACTTTCTGTCTTCATTTTAACTGGGATGAAACAGAGGCTCAGAGATGCTACACATCCTCCCCACAGTCACACAGCCAGATGTGATAGGATTTAAACCTATGTTTATGAGCCTGCATTCTATATGGTGTTGTCTTTTTTGATTTCCTGTTACTTGTTCCTCTTATCAATTCTAGTTTGGTGATGTTCCATCCATTTGCACTCAGCGTTTCTTTGAATATTGAACCCTTAATTCTGACCTGCCCGAGAAAAGTTCCCTTCTAAGTGTGTCTCTTTCCCTGTGACTTCAGTAAGACCTCTGGCTCTATTCCAGGTTTTCACCTGCTTCCTAATAATCCCTGCATCTTTGCAAGCACAGCCCCGGTTCCCATGTCCTACCTACTGCTTGGTTTTCAGTTCTGCTCCTGCTGGTTGACTTTGCCAACAAGGCGGTAACCTCGCTCCTGATGAATGATGATGATAATAATAACAGCAAATGCTTGCACTTATGATATGAAGACACGTACTCCCTCTTCTTAGCTCACAACCACCCTGAGGAGGAGTCACGGAGCTTGCCATGACCTCCTCACTTCTAGCCTTTGCCCTGATTGGCCTTCCCACAGTCCTTGGGGTTCCCCCCTCTACTCTGCAGGGTCTATGGCGTGTCCCTGTCTTGCTCCTCTTCTGCTGGCAGCCCAAACCTCCCTGGCTAAGGTCTCTGTGTGACGTTGTAAGGACGGAGCCTCCATTTCCTAGGAACTTTGTCTCCTCTTTCCACCACTTCCGCTTTTGAGAATAAACTCCCCCAAATCCGCCTTTTCAAATTGCTGGCAGTGTTTCAAACAGAGTATTAAAGTGCTTCATTGCTGTAAACAGAACACTAAACAGTCGTGGTCTTTCTTCAGCACAGAATACAGGGAAGGCAGGTCCGCTGGGGCAAACCTGTCACTGTGGTTTTCTGGAGGAAACATTGTTGGGTTGGTTGAGTTTTACTTTATTTATTTGATTTCTCTGAGTGTAATAAACTGGGTAACCTACCAGCCCTTGGTGAAGCCGAGGAATGTCTCTCCTCACAATTCTTAAATTCTTCCCTCTGCAATTTGAGTGCCCCATAGCAGAGAGAAATGGAAGTGGCTGGAGGTTTTTGTACTGCAAGACTAGCATGCTGTATAGTAACATTCCTGTAGCAACAGTTTTATTACACAGAAGAAATGAAGCCCTCTTGTATGGAGGAAAGCACAAAGCTTGCACCAATTTAGGATTAAAAATGAAATTTCAGATTTCCTGTTTGTTATAGGTGTGGTTCCCATGGGCTTCCATCAATTTTCTCCTAGGTCAGAGGTATTTTGGTGGAAATTTTGTGATGCTCTGACCTAGTGTGTGCGTGAACAGAGGCAGGTGTACGGATCCGGTGCTTACTAGGTGTTCTCCCTCCCTTTCTGTCCCTCTTTCCTTCTCTCATTCTGCGCTTTTTTTCTCTCCCCTTTCACCTCAGTTGCTAGCTCTTATTTTCTGTCTTGGTGAAATGCTCTCTTTAGTGGCACTGGCCTTCCTCAGGCACCAGTGTGCTTGGGAATTGTACAGCTGTCATGGACTCTTAGAATGCAAGAGCCTGCAGCAACCACAGAAGCCCGCCCCTTTCATATGCTACATGGAAGTCAGTCAAGGTCACATAGCTGGCTAGAGGCTGAGCCAGGCAAGACCCCTGGGTTCCTGGCTCGTGGTCCAGAGAGCTCAGCAAAGTCAAATGGGCTGTCAACCAATGCACTAGCTCTCATTTCATGAACAGGTTGTGGGATTTGCAGCTCATTTGTTGTTGGTGCTGCCATAAGAACAAGATCATGGTGATGATAGGAGGTGTCCGCTCCAGATTAGTAATAGAACAGCCCTTCTGGAAATACCAGAGCTGGAGCACTTGCCAAACTGTAGTAACCGGTGCCCATGAGGCTCAGGAACCCAGATCCAGCCAAAACCAGGGCCAGCTGCTCGAGGGGAAGGAACGATCTGTTCCTTCCCTGCCCATATGGGGAGCTGGGCATGGCCTGAGGCAGGCCACTGTTAGCACAGCTGCTTTCCTGAGAGGAAAGACATCGCGAATGCCTCCACATTCCTGCATCCTTGTTCTCCTTGGCAACAGACTGAGTTATTTTTCTCAATGATTATATGGTAGATTAATAACTAAAAGCTATTTTTAAAAAATTTATGGGCAAATCCAGATCTCTTCTTTCACATAAACGAGTGCTACATGGATGTTAGACTTAGATGAATCCAGATAATTTTGTATCCTATCTTCTTTTCCACAAATATCTCAAGAATTACTCCAAGACAGGTCTTTTGAGAGGAGCTCGGAAAATAGGAGAGATACATTCCCTGTCCTCAAGGATCTGATCATCGACTCGGGGAGTATTTAGTTTTCTACTGCTGCTGCAGCAACTTACCACATATTTGGTGGCTTAAACAACACAATTGGTTATTTTACAGTTCTTGTGGTCAGGAGTCCAAAATAGATCTTGCCAAATCCAAGTGCTGAAGGCCTTGTTCCTTCTGGAACCTCTGGGGGAGAATCTGTTTCTTGCCTGATCTGGCTTCTAAGTCCACCCACATTCCTTGGCTTTTGGCTCCCTTTTCCATCTTCAAAGGATGGAACAATAGCCAGGAAAGCCTCTAACTGCTATCTCCCTGTTCATACTCATCCACCTCCCCCTTCCACAGCTAAGGACCTGTGGTGACTGCATATGCTGCTCCCATGGGTAATCCTTTCATCTTTAAGTTTGATTAGCAGCCACTGGCACCTTTTATCATGTATGCCAACAGATTCACAAGTTTTGGGGGTTGGAATACAGCCTCATGGGAGGCTTTAATCTGTCTTCCATGGAGATTTAGACACCCTCCTAGTTGGGCACTGAACTCCAGGGATGGTGCTGTGATAGGAACACACAAGAACAGCATTTGACTCAGGGGTTGGAGTGCTGTGGAGCTGTGGTCAGGGATGATGTCCTGGAAAATGCGATATTTCAGCCTATACTTTTAAAGTGTGTGACATCCTGGCCAAGAAGAAGTAAAAGGACACACAGAAGCAAATGGAGGATGCAGATGTGGCTAGAATTTGGGGTCTGGGAAGGAGAGTTAGTGGGTGATAAGCAAGGCTGGAAAGCCATGGCAGGCCACAGATGGAACCCTCAGAAATGACAACTGGGCCTTTTGTTTTGAAGCAATGTTTGGTCTGAAGTGGGGGAAGGCAGCAAGGCATAATAAACTCCTCCAGAACTAACAGCCAGTGTTACCATCCTTAGGCTTGGGGTCAGTGGGAGGAAGGAGTTGCCAGAAGAATGTGAGACCTTTGGCTATAGGAAGAAACACCCTCTAGAAGCCATGATATTTAACAAAAAGACAAAGCAAAGAGAAACAAAACAAACTATCACATCCATGGTGCAACTACAGCTCACAGAGAAGAGAGGATCAGAGGAACAGAAACTCTTACCTAAAGAAAGATGAATCTTCCATCTTTCAGTCTGTTGTTCTTTTCTTGCATTGGCAAACCCACTTACAAGCCAAGAGGAAACTGAACCTGATGAACACAATCTGCAGGATTTAGACCTCTGGGTCAGAAGAGATGGATTAGAATGGAAAACCATAGGAACCAGACAGGGGCACCTTGCATGTCATGAATAAAGAATCTGCACTCTACACCAAAGGCCACAGAGAGGCTCAGAAGAACTTTATACAGATCAGTCAATGGCTCTTACCATTCCAAATGCATAGTGCCTTTATCATATAAGGTACAAATTTTATCTAACTTTATCTCCTACAAAATTAACAAGCTGATCTTAAATGCTATTTGTCAGCCAAAATATTGAAGGCTAATAATGCCTCATGTGCTTCTTTTTAAAAATTCTACAGGTTTACTGGGAGCCTTCAGTGCTTGAATAAGTTAACCGGTGTTGTAGTTGTGCTGTGCTTCCAAGCAGGATTTAAATGATGTATACTCATTTAGCTAAATCTGTAGCTTTATGATTTAAGATGGGATATTTTTCTGGTCCTAACTAAAGTTGCTCAGTTGCTCATGTATCTGGGGGTTATCAAATCTGTCAGCTTTCTGGAAACTGGCTTATGGTCCAATGGTATCTGATGTAGCTCTCCCTTGCATGTGTCTTTCAGTCTTCCATCAGGCCTGGCCAGGCTGCTTCTTGGCACTGTGGTCCCAGATGCAACAGTAGGATGAGAAATGGGATGAGTAGACTTTTCTCAAGTCTCTGCATGTGTCGCAACTACTGACATCCTATTGATCAAAGTGATCATTATGACTAAAGAGACTCTTTCTCTTGATGAGGGGAACTCCAAACTCATATGGCAAAGAACATGGACAGAGGAGAGAGAGAAAATTTGCACCATTAATGCAATCAATCATTGCTGGATGCCTCATTGTAGGCAATGAAGATTTATTTATCTATCAAATTATTTGTTTATTGTGAGATTCTCCAACTGTAACTGTAAGCTCTGCAAGAGTACAGCTGTATATCTAGTGACTCTAAAATAATGTGTTCTAAGTATATTTTTTCACTGAAGCTTTAAGTAAACGTGTTGAGTTGCAATGGAAATTATTTGGAGAACATTCTTTATGGACTCCAATCCAGTGGCAATTGTCTTTGAAAATAAATGACTGCACATGTGGTTTCCTTGTGCCTTTCTCAGCCTGCCGTACCATTGTTTCACTTTCTCTCTTTCAGAGTTGATGAACTTGATCTCCAGCTGAAGATGTGAAATACAAGGGGAAGCAGCTCACTTCCGGTGACAGGGCTGGCCTCGCCTCATCACTCTGCCCCAGGACTAGGAGTTGAATGGGACAGCACTGCATTGCAGGTTTGCTGCCTCCTGTGGTGACCAACTTATGTCCCCTTACCACTCGTATTAAGCTTTAGCTCCTGGTATCTCAGATTGGGACTGTATTTGGTATGAACTCTTTAAAGAGGTAAGTAAGTTTAAATGAGTTCATATGGTGGGCTCTGATATAACATGACTGTTTTCCTTGCAAGAAAAGGTTAGGACATAGAAACTCACAGAAGAAAGACCATGTAAAGACAGGGAAAAGAAGATTTGCAAGCCAATATGCCTCAGAAGAAACCAGACCTGTTGGATTTTAGACTTATACCTGCTGGAACTAAGAGAAAATAGGTTTCTGTTTAAGTTACCCAGGCCATGGTATTTCATATGGCAACTCTAGAAAACGAATGTACATCTTTTGTTTGAAAAAGAAAAAATATGGGGAGACTTATAAAAGAAAACATCCAGTCCCAGCCCCACAAGGTGATTGCATCCCCAGCATGATTCCATGTTGAGGATCAGAGAGACATTCTCAGACAGGAGGCTCCAAGACATGGATGCACAGGAAAGCTCAGGGGAACCCTTCAGAGTGGCCAGTGACAACAGCAGACGGCTGCTGCTGGGGTCTTTTCTTGTGGCCTTCCTGGGGTTTTGCCAATGGTTTTAACTTGGTCCTTGTATGCTGATGCTAAATTCCATTTATTAGCAACTTTCCTACTGGACTATTTTATGGGTTCCTCAGGAGTTACTCTCTTGCTTCAGCTTCCAGTCATCTGAAATGTGTCTTCAGAAAATTCTACTGCCTCATTATGTGTAATCCTTCTTCTAGGCCATTCAGTTCTTCTCCTAGCTCTTAATAAATAAATACTGATCCTAAGACCCAAACCCAAGAGGCCATAGATTTAATTGCTTTCCATGCTGAGAAAGGATCATTTATTAGCACTGCGCAAAGCACTCTGTTTGAAAACTCCAAACCACATGAAATGCTACAAGTTTTGAGCCAGAGCCTAGCAGAAAAACAGCCAAGATTCATCTGAACTTTGTTAGGCCTCGTGACCTTTCACAAAACCTCAAAGCAAACATAATTCAGCCCCTGGATAGGCTCAATCTCAGAGTTCAGTGTTGGTGTTTGTTTGGTTTTGTCGCAGCTGCTTATATCACAAATCCCCACTTCTGGTTAAAAAAAAAAGCCATGAGATGGCTTCAACCCAGTGTGATGTTCTGTTTTATTTTTGTTTTGTAACATGTCTATTAATTGTGAAACTCAAGACTCCTTTGGAAAGCTAGCTCTACAGAACAAGCTGTGGGTTTAGAATTGCCAGGCAAATTGGAACCAAGAGGTTGACATGGAATTCAGTGAGAGCCCAACTGTAGTAACTCTGGCCGGAGTGATGAGAGAAGGAGGAGATGAGGCTGGGAGTAGGGAGGTCAGAGGAAGAGTGTTTTGTTTTGTTTTAAAGAAGAAAACTTGAGGCTGAGGCATTGCCTGGACACAGCGGCTTGTTGATAAGAATTTGATGGACCTCTTCAACGCGTGTAATCTATAGTCTCCTTGTGCCTTTACCTTAATTGAGAGATCCCTGTGAAGGACATCACAGCCATTTCTATATTGCCACATATCCATCAGGGCTTCCTGGAACCCTGCCTCTTAGAGCTGGAATGGCTTGACAGAGAATGCTCTTACGAGTAGGCGGCCAGCCAGAGCTCATCTTGTTACAACTGGCAGGAGAGAGTGGGGATATGACAGACAGGGAGGGTTTGTACTTCAAATCAAACAAGTCCTCAGCACTGGGACAGGTGCCTGGGATAGAATCAAACGCAAAGTGAGTAACAGAAATTTCTTCAGACAGACTAAACATTCTCTTGGACATTATAATGCTGGTGTAGGCAAACATGACCAGAGCAAATACAGGGCAAAGCCTTTGCAACAGATGGCCACCTGTGAATTCAGCTCCAGTTAGCTTGGTAGCAGGTGGCTGTGGTAACTAAGCACGATGCTGGAGATTGGGAGTAGGATTTTGATCATCATCGTGTGTTAAAAGGGAGTTTGAGGTAGGAAAAGATGCTCAGGGAGATGGTGTTGGAGTAGCAGGCACGAGAGTGGAGTCACTTGGATTTTAGGGTGAGAATTTGGTCAAACAGTTGGCAGATGCCCACCTGTCACACTAAATCGCAAAATCCTATAAACTAATTCTGAGTCATTCATGAATTAGACCAGATCCACTTAAAGCACTTCTCTGTTCCTTTTCGTAACCCTCCTCCACTAGTGATGTGGGCTGGAAAGAGTCTGGGGGAGAAGTGGAGGAGGAAATGAGGTTATGGAAAGAGGGAGCCAGACCATGCAGGTCCTTGAAGGTCACTGAATGGACTTTAAGGCAAGGGAGACTCCGTGGTTTTAATGTCTCAGGTCCAAGGGAAGCCCAAGCAGGAACCACAAGATAAGACTGATGTTTCTGACATTTCAGGTGATATGTGACTCAAATCCAAGTTATTTACATTGGCAGCCTTTGGGGAGATATCTGCCTCATTCTCAACAGCAACTCCTGTATGTGGTGATAATTTTACATCAGTCCTAAAGAAAGGAACAAAACAATAAATATTTTGACCTTACTGTTTTGATCCCATTGTTTTGGATTTCCATATTGATTTTATAGATATTTTTCCTCTGCATTTATGAATACAAATATTTAAATTAAAATTACACCAAAACTGATGAGTTTTTTTGTTGAAAATGCTTTTCCAAGAATTAATCTTTTTAATGTAATTTTTGATAACATTTATGTAAAAAGTTGAAGCATGTTTATTTATATTTCAGTTAAAGTTATTATTATTTTGGGGGATCAATTGTTTTCTGGTATAATTTATTCTGACTCAAATTTGCCTAATTGTGTATTTTATGGTTGTGAGTTTGTTTTTTTTCAAGAATTATGGTTTTCAAAGTTTGTTTGTGAGGTAAATTAAAAAATATATATAGACTTGACTTTTTTTCATTCACTTTCAGGTAATGTATTTTAAATCATGTGCAATTTTAGAAACTGTAGATTTTGTTTAAAAATTTTGTTTCTGCCAAACCTATTTCCTACTTTTATTTTTGGGGATTTTCCTCCACAACAAATTTGACAGTTCTAAGGAGTGTTAGTTTTGCCCTTTGTAGATTATTGCTCCTAGTAATGGTCAATAAGAATTAGGTAAAAGACTTGTAGTTAGTAAGTTCTTATTGGAGGAGTTGGCAAAAAGTTGATCATAAGAATCAAATGCAGGATGGAATCAATGCATAAGGGTCAAAATGTCTTGGATCTGATTCTCCCTGATTCTTACCAGTCTGCCCTGATGTCTAAGTCCAACAACCCTTTGTATATATATATTCAGTGAAGTCTGCTGGGAAGATCCTTGTCTATTCTTTGACAAAAGGGCCAATTTCTCCAATAGATAGAGGAAGGAGTAGGGGTGGGAGCTGGGAAGGCAAGGGTCCAAGAGACAAATGACTGCTTCATTCTGACAAAATCCCAGAACAAACAAAAATTTACATGTTCTGTGGGCAATCAATGACCTAGTATGACAATTCTCAGGTTACAAATTTATTTAATTTGCATCTCTTTAATTAGTCATAAAACTTATGGGGGGCATGTGAAGTTATCAAAGAAAGAAAGAGACTATCATGAACACTTTGGAACTCTAAAATTTTCAGAACTGGAGCGATATGCAGAAGACTGACAAGTGTGGAGAACATGCTACAAATTGTATTGGGAAGAACAGGAATGTGGGGTTAGAAGACTTGGTTACCAGCCGAGAGTGTTTTCCTTCTCATTTGGGAGATGTGGGGTTATTTATTAGGTTTCCTTGTGTATTATTTTTCTTGTCTACAAAACTCTTTCTCACAGAGTGCTGGTGAAGTTTAAGATGCATACAGTTGCCCTGGCTAATGTGGAAGATAAAGCACATGGCAGTTACTGGGTAGTAGTCACGTGCATGAAAAATGAACCTGTTTTCCTTTTAAGAAGGAAACTTCCTCTCCCCTTTTCTCCTCCCATTTCCTCACCATCCCTGCTCCTCTTCTCATTCTTTCCTCCCTTCATTAGAAATCACACCCGATAGGGCTAGCCACACCAAAACCAAAAATCAACCTTATAACTTATGGTGAGGGTTATGGATCACATGGAATCAGATGACTTAATAAATGAATTTACCCATGTGGACCATGGATCAGTCAATCATGCCCTCATGTAATGAAGCGTCAATAAAGTTTCAGAAGAAGTTTAGGCAAGTTTCTTGGATTGGACAAATGCCACATAGTCACATGTCAGTGCTGAGACAGTCATTCAACATGGAGACAAAGGGAGCTTCACTTTCCTAAACACCGCCCTGTGTGTCCCTTCATTGGCTGACTCCAAGGGGTCTCATACCTATAATAAGTGTAACTCAGTATCTTGTGTTTTCTTCTCTCTAATTTTTTCTTTGGACCCAACTACTTGCCTTTGGGGTCACAAGTCTTAGGCAGCATCAGCAGTCTGGAGGACTGTGCCTTTACAAACCAGAGGTCTGTTAATTCCATGTACCGTCTCTGCTATTTCTTCCTCAAATTCTGAAAACTTGCTTCATTGTGTCATCCCTGGTGATGTTTAGAATAGGAGAAAGAAATGAAATGATTGGCAGGTACTTGCTTTGAGCTGTGAATGAAACGAATTTGAATTGGTATAGTATCAGTTCATTCAGATAAACATAAAGTTTACTTGTGTTATTTATGTGGCTAGTCTATTCAACAAATGTTTGTATGGCTCATCACTGGTCAGGCATTTTTCTAAATGTGTGTGCATTTATTTGATGTTGATAATTATTGTTGAGGTAGATTCTATTATCATCATTATTATTATTGTTACTATCCCCATCCTGATACAAGTAAGCATCTTGGTTTTTTATAAAAGTTTAAAGGTTATTAAACTTCGCCATTGTAAAAATGAGCATTTGGCTTGTTTCACATGCAGATGTGGTTTTTTTAGACACATATGCATGCATGCTTAAATGGAATTAACAGTCCTCAA